TAAAGGGAACGAAACTTCTTCAATGATTTCTTTGAATTTATTCCATATGTCTTTCAAACCCCCTCCTAACTTTTCGAAATCCGCGTACTTCAGTTTTAGAAAATGTTGCAGTCCGTTTGTGTCAGCTTTTCGATATTGCCATACTCTATTACCGATTATACCATTTCCCCTGCAAATAGCATTTATTTCAAGAACTACGGCATTATGGTCACTTATTCCCTGAATAACATTGCAACAGTATAACATGTCTATCTGTCTAATAAGAAAAATATCTAACAGAATTCTGACGTGTTAACCTGTCATCAACTTGCGTCATTCCTGCATTCCAAACTAGATTATTTATTATTAACTGTATTTGTCTTTCGTATACATCACCGAACCTATTAATATCGCTTAGATTTAAGTCGCCACCAATAATAATCGGATTACTAGTTCTATTGGAATTCGCGGATATTCTCAAGAAGGAAATAATTACTATTTGGTAGCTTATAACATGCAATAAGATCTATTGTCTGAGTGTTGCTATGCTTATATCTACTCCTACGATTTCATGCTCAATACCTTTCCATTTCAAGTTCGTGTTTATAGATGATTCAACTAAAATATTATATTTTCTTTTCCGCGGCTTTGATTCGATGGAGAGACCATTTGGGGTGAATACCAGAATTCGAAAGATTAGAACGCGAAAGGATGTAGGTATTGTAATGGCTTAAAGGCCTTCGGCCTAGCCACATAGGATCAAGTAATCTAATTCGTTTGTAATAATTACCTATTAAATAAAAAAAATATTATGTTTCAACATAAGTTAATTCATGATTATGACATTGGTACTATTTTATGTAAAAAGGTATTCAGTATCATTAATTTGATTAAATTGATTACATGATGATTAGAGGTTGATTCCTCTATTTAATCTTTTTCTTCGATTTATAAATATTTCATGTAATTAATTATACTCTGCCTTTCCGTTTACCCTGCCTTGAACCTGCATATCTACATAATTATTATAAAATCATTGTACATTGATATTCCATCTTCATTTTGTGTAAGCTTTGTAAACGCTTGTGAAATAATTTATTCGTATGTGATTGCAAGAGTTTGTGCAAATGCTGGTAGATGTCGCGAGCGACGTTAGCTACAGACGACTACTTATAGGCTGTCTTAGCACTTGATGATTTTTACGTACTAATGTAATACCTATATTCGCTACCAGCCGCGCTCCTGTCAATCTGAGTTTCTGGTAATTCCCGTTTTATAGTCAGTGCTCAATCAAAATAATTCGGGCGCAGTAATGTTGTGTTGTAAAGTTATTTAAGTGCGTAACTTTTTTTTCGAAATTGCTTGTGCTAACAATTTTGTCTAGTGTAATTGCTTGCTAATTCGAACCCAGCATTTCTGGCCGTTATGATTGTTGATCTTTTATGTAGTTTCGATTCTTGCAGCTTGGTATAGCGACTGACATGGTGTCGATTTTATATGTTACAATCATTGCGGATAGCCACCTGTGTACTCAATTTTTGAAGTTTATTTTTTAATGTGTATATGATGTCGCTCATTTTATTTATGCCTATTGATGATGAATATGCCTTCTGATTTAATTGTTCCCTCCATAGCTCTATTTTGAAAGCTGCTGCTAATTTTGCAGATAGCCTCGATTTGCTGTGTGATTCACATCTGTTATGGAATTGTTGCAGCTGATTGTGTGCTCGCAGGTGAGCCAAAAAAGGTACGAGCTAATTTTTGTTGAGGTGTAATATGGTGAGAAATCCCGTACCGCCGAAAAAGGTGGTTTCTAAACTCACCTGTTCGGTCGCGTAGGCAGATGAGCGCTTCGCAAGGTTGTCTGAGCGAAGGGACGAACTCTGCACCGTAAGTGTTGGGAACTCATTGCCGCCAGGTATTGCAGTGTCGTCGACTTCATGTAGTACAGTGAGCCCCATTCGCCGGCATATTCTCTAACTTGACTTTCGATTTTGATCCCAGTATTATTATGAAGTTTCAATAACTATATTCCTGACTGACTCGAGACTCGAAAGCAATGAAAGCTTTGTCAATATTGGATCTTCAATACATACCCTAACAATTACTTTTTTTTAAACTGTGATATTTTATGGCCAAATTCTTGTAACAATGAATTTGCAGTGTAAGTTAGAAGGAAGGTACAGTCTAAATATTTTTGGTGTAATGAAATAATTGGTGTACATTTTGTTTCGAATTATGTTAATTTTAAATGAAATAAATACACTGAAGAGCTAAAAATAAAGTGGTACACCTCGTTTAGGGCCTCCGTGGGCACACTGAAGTGCCGTAACACGTCATGGCATGGACTCGACTAATATCTGAAGCAGTGCTGGAGGTGATTGACACCATGAACCCTACAGGACTGTTCATAACTCGTGAGAGTGTGTAAAGAAATTTTCTGAAGAGCACTTTGCAAGGCATCCCAGATATGCTCAATAATGTTTAATTCTGTTTTTTTTGGTGATCAGTGGAAGTATTTAAATTCAGAAGAGTCTTCCTGGAGCCACTCTGTATCAATTCTGGACGCGTGGGCTGTCGAATTGTCCTGTTGGAATTGTCCAAGTTCCTAGGGTTGCACAATGGACTTGATTGGGAGCAGGTGGTCAGACAGAATATTTACGTACGTGTCACCTGTCGGCGTCCACTCCAACGTGACGTATGACATGACGTATCACTCCAACTGCATACACTCCATACCATCACAGAGCCTCCATCAGCCTCGTCGTTCCCTGTTGACATGCTGGGATACACCAGGTTGTCGCCATACTCGTACACGTCCATCCGCTCAAAATAATGTGAAACAAGGCTTGTCATACCATGCAACGTGTTTCCAGTCATCAACAGCCCAATGTTGGAGTTGACGGACCCAGGCGAAGCGTAAACCTTAGGGTCGTGCAGTCATCAAGGGTACTCAAATGGGCCTTCGGTTCCGAAACCCCATATGTCTTGTTGAGTGGTTCGCACGCTGACACTTGTTGATGGCCCAGCATCGAAATCAGTAGCAATTTGCGGAAGGGTTGCACTGCTGCTACGTGTGATGATTCTCCTCAATCGTTTTCGGTCCCGTTCTTGCACATCTTTTTGCAGCCGCAGCGGCGCCGGAGGTTTGATGTTTCAACAGATTCCCGATATCCACGGTACACGCGTGAAGTGGTCGTACAGGAAAATCCAAATTTCATCGCGACCTCGGAGATCTGATACATCTCTCCTGCACCGACTTTGACACTTTCAAACTCACTTAAATCGTGATAACCTGCCATTCTAGCAGCAATAACCGATCTACCAACTGTACCAAACTTTGGTTGTCTTATTTCAACCGATTTTCTTCAAAATTGATAGTCCCAGATTTTTGTAAACACACTCGCGATTTAAGAAAATTCCAGCGAGTATTTTGGTTTTGAGGCTGAGGTGTAGTATACGGTACAACCTAAGGAAGTTGTGTAATCCGGCACTTCGCGTCGCTCCGGCGAAGGGGAAATCCACGGTGGAGGGGGCGAGGGGTGTTTAGGGCATTATGAGGGGAATCTTTCGGTGGGGAGGGGGGAGGGGTGGGGAGCAATATGCGTAACTTAGTACGTATATATAAAATGCAAAGCGGGGCGGTTGAAATACATTGTAAAAAAGTACACTTCTGAAATAATTTTAATGGTTCGTAATTGGTCACGAACGTGACGTCAAAAGTTAGAGGTGGGGGAAATTTCACCCTAATATCTTTTTCATTACGAAATTGTGTGTTGTGGCATGTAAATCATGTTTTCGTCTACGTGATTTTCTGTGGGGGTTGCTGTCGAAGTGGTTGGTTATATTGCTGTCGTACAGTTAAGTTTCTTGTGTTCTTCAGATTCCTTGTGATTTGTGTTTTTGAGTGTCGAGAATGTGCTACGACGGGGAGAATAAATGTGGCTTTTTTGCGCATTGCGCTAAAGGTGGTGTTTGGCTGCCAATTGAATGGGCGCAAGAACGTGGTTTGATTGCTGCAGGGTTTAAGTGTGCTGCGTGTAAGTGACCTGTAATGTTGGCCAAGCGAAAGAAGTTGTGATAGTTGCGAGTGGAAGTGTAGCAAGAAAGGTGCCAATACTCATGTTCGTTAGTGTTCTGTGCGGAAGTGGCCGTGGTTTGCAGGAAGCAAGTTTAGTATAATTCAGGTATTAGAAATGACCTATTTTGGGGTTGTAAAGCCGTCAGTCAAACCGCAATAAAAATCGGCTATCGGTAAGTTTCATACTTTTCTGTCAGAGCGCTTAGCGTAATTTGAGGGAGGGGTTGGGGATAACCCTCCTCCCCTCCACCCCTCCTCACCCGTCATCCTCCTCTCCCTTCCCCCCTCCCCTCCTCACCTAAAAGCTTCTCTAAGGGTGTACTGTGAACCCCACTTTAACCAATTTTGAGGGCACTTTACATGAAGCCTCAAAAACATTTTTAATATTTTCTCAAAGATGAATCCAATTTTTTTATCAAACTTTGTGCGCAAAGGACGCTTAAGAGAATGGTGCATGTGTTATGTTCCTTGAAACCCACATTTTTTGACAATTGCAAAGTTGTGATTTGTTGGACATCTTCCTACAACTATATAATACTACTATATATAAAATATATACAACTATTGAAGATAGTTTTTTTTATTTAATGCAATCTGTTTTCTAAAGATCGGATAGGAGAATGGAAGGCGTGTGTTTTATTTTTGTTGAATTCTGAAATTGCAAAGATTGCCAATTTAGAAATAATGCGAGAAAGTATATGCAGTTGGAGCACCACTAGTTTTTAATCTGCGATGAAAATAATTCCTTTAGAGCTTACACCTGGGAGTGACGACCTTGGGGCACCGTCGCAAAATTAAACAAAATACATTGTTTTTTCCTCATATGTCCACAAAAGGCATTCGTTTTTCAAGAATCATGTTTGCGTGTGAAGGAACAGCAGTAGCCTCCAGGATTCATTTTGCTGCCCCAATGCGAAGCGGTTGCTGGTGTGACGCTCACCTGGCCTCGCGGATCGCCTCGATCCACGCCTTGCAGTCCGACTCAGTGGCCGCGCGCAGCTCGTACTGTCGCTGGTGCTCGCGCCGGTACGAGATGGCGAAGCAGTGCTGCAACACACGACAGTATGCCCTTAACCGGTGTTTTCACTCGCTCGTCTTACTACTCTAGGTTGTAAAGAGAAAGAACACTGAGGTGACAAACGCCATGGGATATGCAAATACACAGAAGACGGTAGCATAACGTAAAAGATGGAGCAAAAGGACAGTGCATTGGCAGAGCCTTCGTTGGTACTCGAGTGATTCATATGAAAAAGTGACGTGATTATGTCCACATGAAAGGAATTAACAGGCTTAGACCGTGAAATGGTAAATGGAGCTAAGCACATGGGACATTCCATTTTGGAAATGTTTAGGGAATTCAAGATTCCGAAATCCATAGTTTTAAGAATAAGCCCAGAGAGCTAAGATCATTCATATTGCAACTCTCGTTTACCACGAAGCAGCTAACTACGTGGTGTTGGAGGCAACACGGCGCAGAGCAACAACCCGCAAGAATTGCCATTGGTCCCGTGATAGTTGTTTCGCCAGGCACTCATGGAGAGCAGCCGGCGCTTCTGGAAAGAGGCGAGGTTTGGCCGCTGCCCGACTGGGACTCAGACGACCACATGGCGTCAACAGCGGACAAGGCTATGGAAGTGGAATCGAGTGACGACGACAGCTAGAACTTATCTCTACTCAGCGTGAGCACCCCCTGCAACTGGAACCACAATCGTACGACGACCTCAAGACTACTCCCCCGACAGGAACTCCAAGAGACTCACGACTTGGGATGGTTTCCAGCTGGTCACCCAACGCACCAGGACTGATCCCCCACCCCAAATCCAATCCTTACCCCTGGGCAACCGGTATACCCTCCAACAGCCAGTTCCTCCAACACCTCAGATCGCAAGACTCCAGAAGACCCAAACCTCCCAACCACTAAAATCCAACCCGATCAAAAGCAACATTGGACCTTTCTACATTGATCAGACCTTCCCCAAGACCTCTTCGAACACATCCCCAACGGAATGACCGCTAAATGCAATGTGACACAACTCCTGGCCCAACACCCGACTATGACTGCCTACAATAAAATTCGTGACCGGCTAGAACTTATCTCTACTACAAACGTAAGGACTTCATCCAAAATTTCCTGAAAGAATACACCGTTCGGTATTAAACTTAAGATGTCACTCCGCTAATTATTCAATACGTAAACATCCATTGAGCCACATTTCCAAGTACCGAAATGAAGTCTATGCCTACTGGATAAATGTTGATAACAGAGTGCGTTGTTGATAGAATTTAATGCTGAAATAACGTTTTTTGTGCTATTGATATGGAAAGGAATGTTTTTAAATTCTTCAGATACGTAGATTCAATACCCAGAAGGTGCATTAAAGGAGGCGTATGCTTACAAAAGTTACTTTTAGTTTCATTATTTGATTGATCGAAATATTACCAAACAAAACAAAATCTCCTTACAATTCGTATTGACTAGTAATTCGGCTTTCTAAGTTAGGGCTCCTGTACAGAGGATCCAAAGTACCTAGACGGTAGTCACATACGTTCAGGAAATCCTCAAGGAAAAAGTCTCCGGTATATCCTTGGGGATACCGAACCCTTGGGCACACATGGAAGGCTTTTTCCTGAAGGGAATCCTCCAGGAAAATGACAGATTTTTGTCCAGTTCACAAGTTCTGTGAAAATGTACTTGGTGCGACGACAGATGGCAGCTGGGAAGATGGTGAGGCAAAACCGAAATGCTAACCCAGACCAAAGAAATTAGAAAACTACTACGAGAAAGTTTGTGCTATTTGTTGCCACACGAAATACATTTTCTGTACGGATAGCACTACTCATGTTATTAATATTTGACATGACTGATGACATGAAATCTTTTAGGGTTGGCTGAGCATCAACTATAGATGTAATCAAGAGATGAGAACATCTGGCCTCAAGGCCAAAAAGAATAGAACGTGGTTCGGGATTCTTCAATCACATGTAAATCTCCACACATATTGCGAAATTTCACAAGGTCTGGTTTCTTCGGGCCACGCCTCGAAGAAATTCCGCTTGTGTAAGCGGTCCTTAAGGCTGTGGGTCAGTAACCCACATAAGACATGAATGTATTCACAGGTGTTCGGGAGGAGATCCGTGCTCCACTAGTTCTTAGTTTCGAAAATGGTTAGAAATAAGTATTATCATGGTCTAAAAAATAGTATGAAAAAGAGGAAGAGGGAACCCTAGAATGAACATTTTAGAACAATCTCAAACTGAATTTCAATTAAAAAAACTATGCAGAAATGAAAAGCACAGCGAAGGTCAGAATGTCATGGCGGCGGCGACTAGTCACTTTTTGGCATTTAGGCTGCTTTGGCCTTTGGCCTTTGCGATGCTGCTGATGATGATTCTCATGGTAATATTCATCGGATGTGAAAAGTGCCAACTTCAGACTTTCGGAACCCTGTGCTATTCGAGTAGGAAACATTCCCTCCATATATTTTTGTAAACTGTCGGATAAAAACATTAGAAAATAGTGTTAATTGCAAATGGTAGCACAACCATGTTAATCACGTGGCTATGATGAGCACATATCCAGGACAGAAAATAGTAGGCTGATCTAAATAGCAAGTGATTGCAAACTCTTAGGTACGGCGGATCTAGGAAGACATAAAGATGGATCGAAAGCTGGGAACTTGTATCTCCCAATTCATTACGAAGGTGACGGCAAAGAAAAACAGGTTTTATCTCTGTAGAAGAATTATTAATTGTATTTAAGATTGTGAGAAATATTACTATATTACTCTTTCATTCTTCTTGAATTCTCGTCTACAATTTTAATTATAAGAAACGATAGAAATCCGATACGCCGACAAACTAATGTACTAATTAATTTACCAACAGTCATGTACTCGTACTATTTCCATAATTAAACTTTATTGAGCGTACGGAAAAAAATAGGAATTTCATAAATATAGCCCCAAACAAGATTGTAATTTTTCACGGCGTGGTGGAACCTTAAAAATTAACTTAACCAAAATTTGATATAATTTAACGTATTATATTCTTAATGTATTAATTATTTTAATTATATATTCTTATTTCAGCATTTCAATGAATATTACACGGTTTTATCACATTACTTTAAATTTTTGAAGGTTTTCTTAATGATGAACTCAGATTTTGATGGTTGAATTTCAATACCTATTACTTGACCAACCATTTACTTGACGTCCTTTACGCTGCTCGGGGACAAAGTTAATAAAAACACGTGGATCAATTTTTAAGGGTAAATTGAAAATGTTGAGGCTTCAAGTAAATTAAAGAGAGAGAGATGAGAAGAATCGAGAGAGAGAGAGATGAGAAGAATCGAGAGAGAGAGATGAGAAGAATCGAGAGAGAGAGATGAAAGAATCGGAGAGAGAGAGAGAAGAATGAGAAGAATGAGAGAGAGATGAGAAGAAGTCGAGAGAAGAGATGAGAAGATGAGAGAGACGAGAGAAGAGAATCGAGAGAGAGATGAGAAGATCGAGAGAGAGAGTGAGAAGATCGAGAGAGAGAGAGAGAGAGATCGAGAGAGAGATGAGAAGAGTCGAGAGAGCAGATGAGAAGAGTCGAGAGAGAGATGAGAAGAGTCGAGAGAGAGATGAGAAGAAGTGAGAGAGAGAATGAGAAGAGTCGAGAGATAGATGAGAGAAGTCGAGAGAGAGGATGAGAAGAGTCGAGAGAGAGATGAGAAGAGTCGAGAAGAGATGAGAAAGTCGAGAGAGAGATGAGAAGAGTGAGAGAGAGAGATGAGAAGAGTCGAGAGAGAGAATGAGAAGAGTGAGAGAGAGATGAGAAGAGTCGAGAGAGAGATGAGAGAGTCGAGAGAGAGATGAGAAGAGTCGAGAGAGAGATGAGAAGAGTCCGAGAGAGAGATGAGAAGAGTCGGAGAGGAGATGAAAAGAGTCGAGAGAGAGATGAGAAGAGTCGAGAGAGAGAGATGAGAAGAGTGAGAAGAGTCGAGAGAGAGATGAGAAGAGTCGAGAGAGAGATGAGAAATCGAGAGAGAGATCGAGAGAGAGAGAGATGAGAAGAGTCGAGAGAGAGAGAGAGATGAGAAGAAGTCGAGAGAGAGAGATGAGAAGGTCGAAGAGAGATAGAAAGAGTCGAAGAGAGAGAGATGAGGAAGAGTCGAGAGAAGAGAGATGAGAGAGTGAGAGAGAGATGAGAAGAGTCGAGAGGAGAGATTGAGAAGAGTCGAGAGAGGAGATGAGAAGCAGTCGAGAGAGAGAGATGAAGAAGAGTCGAGAGAAGAGATGAGAAAGAGTCGAGAGAGAGAGAGAAGAGAGAGATGAAAGAGTCGAGAGAGAGAGAGAGAGATTGAGAAGAGTCGAGAGAGAGAGAGAGATGAGAAGAGTAGAGAGAGGAGAGAGAGATGAGAAGAGTCGAGAGAGAGAGAGATGAGAAAGAGTCGATGAAAGAGAGAGATAGAGAAGGAGTCGAGAGAGAGAGAGATGAGAAGAGTCCCGAGAGGAGAACGGAGGTCGAGAGAAAGATGAGAAGAGCGAGAGAGAGAGAGAGATGAGAAGCAGTCGAGAGAGAGAGAGAGAGAGATGAGAAGAGTCGAGAGAGAGAGAGAGAGAGAGATGAGAAGAGTCGAGAGAGAGAGAGATGAGAAGAGTCGAGAGAGAGAGAGATATGAGAAGAGTAGAGAGAGAGAGAGATATGAGAAGAGTCGAGAGAGAGAGAGAGAGAGATACGAGAGACGAGGGATATTGGTGGGGAGATTGACAGTGATTCCGGGCGCGTCAACGACTGAAGTCATTAGTTCTGTAAGCGTAATGCATGTTTTTTCCTCGGAAGGTGGCGGCGATCTTTTCCCGCTGGATGGCGAGAACCGACGCCGTCTTACCGTCGGCTAGCAGGGTTTTCGCTAACCAGGTATCTCCGACCAGCAGGGCATCGCGATAGCCGCGACAAAATAAGCTCCCTATCAGTCTCCTGTGTGTATGGTATTCTAGTGCATGTTAGTGTCTCTGTGTGTTACTTGGGGGTGAGGAGAGGACAAGTGGGAGGAACGA